CGTCGTGACATGTGTCCCTCATCTGTAATCCCCTGCTGGACACGCTGCCTTTCCCTTCTCCCTTGCTGCTGGCAAGAGCCAATGTGTAACTGAGGCCTTCCCGGGTGGCCTATCCCATCATCACCCCCCAAGAGCTCTCTCTTCCTCTTCTCAACCTGCTGTGTGGGAGAGCAGCCAAGAGGCAGGTACCGGCTGGTAGCCGCTTCCTCCTTCCTAGGTGTTGGACCAAGACCCACCCTGCTGCTTGGCACTCCTTGGAGGCCTGGGAAGCAGAAGCAAGTGGAACCGGCCTGCAAGCAAGAGCTCACTGAGTCTTCTGGTTGACCCACTACAGCCTCCTGTGTTCTGGTGGCAGCAGCCTTGGGGCTTCTGAAGCAGTGGGGTTTGTTTCTGTTCAGGCCTTCACTGAGAGCAATCTCTGCCCCAGATGGGTGGTGCCAGTGGCTTCTTAATTCCAATACTAATTTGCTTTGCTGACCAAATATCTGGTACCGGAAGACGGTGAGGCAGAGATTGGGAGCAGTGATGTGGCCCTGGGGCTGAGCCCTAGACTCGGGGCTTTGTACATAGCTATGAAGAAAACACAAAGTGTATAAATCTGAGTATATATTTACATGTCTTTTTAAAAGGGTCGTTACTAGAGATTTACCCATTGGGTGAGATGCTCCTGGTGGCTGGGAGGCATCCGTTGCTATATATTAAAAACAAAAAAAAAAAAAAACAAAAAAAGGAAAATGTTTTTTAAAAGGTCATATATTTTTTGCTACTTTTGCTGTTTTATTTTTTTAAATTATGTTTTAAACCTATTTTCAGTTTAGGTCCCTCAATAAAAATTGCTGCTGCTTCATTTTTATCCTGGGCGTGTGAAAAGGGAGCAGATGCCCCCTGAAAAGGAGGGAGACAGGGACTAAGGGGCCATGAACTGTTGGCACTGTGTGCTTCCCTATTTCCTGTGACCTCCCAGCCAACCCTTCTATCTCAGATGCTTTGGGAAAGGCGGGGGTAAGAACAAAGTACTGAGGGCAGAGAACCGAGACTACAAGCTTATTTCCTAAGAGGGGGATGAGACCAGCCAACGGTAGAGCGAACCAACTAACAGTACAGAAACTCACCCCAAACCCTGTGTGGGTAGAAAAATTGTCACCCAAAGCTAATCTTGTCCTTCCCAGTCTACTCTCTATTTTTCTCTCCCATACAATCCTCCTGTGCCTGGGTCCCTGTTACTAGATTGTATTTGTTGGGACTGTTCCTGATCTTGGCTTTCTTATAGTTTTTTTTCCCTGTACAAACCCCACCCATCCCTCAGGAAAGGGAAACACAGTCTCTTTGGTTTGGGTCAGCTTGGCGACTTACTCCTGCCACCTGCTGGTGGCTTTTGTCCTCTTCAAGTGGTTCCTTGGCACCTTATTCAGACAGGCGGTACACAGTGATCATTGCTGGATCACTGCTGAATACAAACCTGTTCAGTATGCTTTCATCCTGCAGTAGGGCTGCTTCTTTAAATACATTCTGAGCGGGGCAGTTTGGTAGCTGTGGTTTTGGTCGTCATCATAGAGTTCTTATCATTGTTTCTCTCTGTAAACATGTAACTGTCAGAATATTACAAGTGTTTTTGGGGGGACGGGGGGGGGTATTGCAGAAAGAAGGTGTAATTCGGCGAAGAGGGCCAGGGGATAAATTTCAGCTCAAACTCATTTTTCTTGTTAAAACAGTGAGCATAATTTCTGCCTCGGCTCTATTTGACTCAGTATTCTGTGACTGGGCAGGAGATTCTACAAAGGGCTTTTGGATGACTCAAGGAGAGGTGCTAGGAGCTATAAGCACTGAGGTCCTTGCTGTTACTATTCAAATTGCCCACAAATATCCCCCGAGGCAGGGATGGCTATCCAATAAAAGATAGTGAAATTGACCTGAGAGAAAATGAAATGGCTATTTTACTTCGATGACCAGATTGAGTCTCCTGGGAAAGGGAACCCAGCTTGTATAATGAAGATGTGCCGTCAAAGTATTGCATCTGTCTGGTTTCCCGAGGGTTAAAATATGGCCACGGCATCAATCAATACTGCCTTTCCATCTTTTCTAATTGCCACAGGCTAGAGATCATCAGTCCCTTGGCTCTGCTAATGTAATATATTGATTTCAGGTAAGTAAGATTGAACACAGATGAAGTAGGAAATCTGCCTTAATAGTAATGAAGTCTCTGTTTATCAGCTGCCACTGGGTGGAGCCAGCAAGCTATAATCCTCCTCCCTATCCCCCCCCCCCCCCCACACACACACACAGTATTGGGTCATAGGCCGGTTTGCTCTGGGAACCTTTGACCTGGGTTTAGTTAGCATTCTAAAGCTCTGGACATGACCAATATGGCGTGTGCAGAATTAGACTTGATACAAGTGCAGGGTGATACTATTCAATGCCACCAACAACTATTATGGCAGTATTCTGTGTTGATGTGAGCCGTGGCTAATGTCACTCCAGGTGCGTGTTAAAGAGGGCCTAAAATTATACCCAGTGAGATTACTAACCGCTGGTGGAGCCAGGCAACCTACATCTGCAGGAGGACAGAGAACAGTAAGGGAGAAAAAAGTCTTTGAAGCAATATGGCCTGGCCTTCCAGCCACTCAGCTGGTAGAAACCAAGACAACCGGCCAGAGCCCTGAGGTTGGCTGGTCCTGGTGGCACACACCTTTAATCCCAGCACTCAAGAGGGCAGAAGCAAGCAAATCTGAGTTCATAGGCCAGCCTGGTCTACATTGTGAGTTCAAGTCCTGCTAAGAATGCACAGTGAGACCCTGTCTAAAAGAAAATTAAACAAGAACACTGAAGTTATGAAGGGCTCTGAAACCAGTTTCCTCATTGGACATGTGACAGTGTTGAGAATCGTCTTCACCATACTGCTCCCCAGATGGATTTAAAGGCTGTACTGCGAACCAGTGATGTGCTGGAGCTGGCCCTCAGAGGCTGGTTATGTGCTTCCTAGCATTGGAACTATCTATGGGGATGGCCTGCCATCCTTGGGATCTGCAACTGTGGTTACTAATCAGTGAGTGGCCAGAGCACCACCAGTGAGGTTTCAGCCTGAGGTGGCCACATACCCCAAATGCTATAAACAGAAACACTGTATCATCTGTGAAAATGGGTAGAGAGATGTGTTGGGTATATTACTAGCCTAAAAGGTAGCAAAAACAGGTAAAGCTACATAGTAAATTCCATGCCAGTTTGGGCTACATGAAACTGTCTCAAAACAAATAAACAAACAAAAAATGCCCAGGTGGCACAAGCCTTTAATCCCATCACTTGGGAAGTAGAGGCACTTGAATCGCTGAGATCTAGGTCAGCCTGGTCTACAGAGAGAGTTTCAGGCAGCCAGGGTCACACAGAGAAAACTTGTCTTGAAAACCAAAACAAAAAACCCCACAAATGAAACAGCAAAATGACAAGAGAGCAGATCTGGTCGTGCATGCCTTTAATATCAGAACTCAAGGGCAGAGGCTATGGATCTCTTAATATCAAGGCCAGCCTACTCTATATAGCGAGTTCTAGGCCAAAGTGAGACCAAAAACAAAAAGCAAAACGGGGGAGGGGGAAACACACCTGTAACCCACCGTGACTAGGTTTAACTGTTCCCATTTTGCCTGCTGAGAGGCAACTACACATGAATTGGCATTTCTTATTTACTTGATGCCAGGCTGTGCTCCCCTCTAAATTTCAATTCCATAGTAAGCAACCCTAGCTTTGCTGTGCAAGAGCTGAGAGGCCTTTCCCTTTTCACCTCTCCACAACCAAAGGAAGATGCTCTTGGCTGGCTGCCTATCAATCAAAATCCCTAAGCCTAAATACCTGACTTACTGCTTGTTACTGAGTAGCAAAGGGACTATATCAGAGCTTACTACCAACCTCTGACAGGCTGACCAGAAAAAAACATCCAGCATAAATGGTTAAGATTAATTATGTGTTAGAATAGTGTCCACCTCCCAGATTCCTGCAGCCTCTGCGGACACAGGATGGGATGTCTGGGTGTCTGTCTTGTTTGTTGTTTGGTTGGTTTGGTTTTTTGGTGTTTTTTCGAGACAGGGCCTTCCTATGTAGCTCTGGCTGTCCTGGAACTCACTCTGTAGACCAGGCTGGATGGACTTACTCACAGAGATCCACCTGCCTCTGCTTCCCCAGTGCTGGGATTAAAGGTGTGTGGCACCACTGCCCCGCTAGCTCATCTTTTTCCTTCAGATTTATTTTTATGCATATGAGTGTTTTGCTTATATATTTATGTGTGTGCATCACATGCATGACTGGTACCTGTGGAATTCAGAAGAGGGTACTGGATCCTGTGGAACTGGAGTTAGAAATGACCGTAAGCCATCATGAGGGTGATGGGAATGGATCAACTGGTCTTAGCCACTGAGCCATGGCTCCAGCGTCACTATTCTGTTTCACCTTCCTGGGAAGTATATCCCACCTGGACCCTGGGTGCTTGCGCACGGTTCCACTGGGGAGTCCTTCTGCAAAGGTTGGCCAGGTGCTCTAAAAAGTGGTTTTGGCAATCTCCATGTTCTGACTAGGGATTCCACCCCCAGGAGGCAGAGGAATCCAAGTTGCCAAGCTCCATTATGGAATACATTTCCTCTTAAAAGCTCTGAACCAACTGGGCTGTAATCCAGTTACTTGGGAAATAGGGGTGGGGGTGGGGGGCTTAAAATTCAAGGCTGGCCTGAGCAATTTAGACCTTACCTCAAAATCTAAAAAGGAAAAGGGCAGGGCAAGGGATACAGTCCAGTGAGTGGTTACCTAGAAACCACAGGGCCCTGAGTTACTCCCTAGCACTACCCCCCTCCGAGTGCACACAAACAGGAAGCCATTCAAAAACATGTGGGAGTGGGTTTTATGCAAAGTCTGGTAGAATGACAATTATACAACAGAAATAGCTTCTCTAAATGGTCTGGTGTCACTGCTCGCACATCTGGAATGGTCACGGGGCCTCCAACGACTTAATGGCTGCTCCTTTATCTCACGCCAGACAGGCTTAGCTAGAATTCCTTCACGGACGGACGTCACTGCTGAGGGAACAGTGGCTGGATAGAGTGAGTCCCAGCTTCAAGGGGTCCTTAGGCTCCTTTTGAATCAGCCTTGCTGTTCTGTGAGGTCTTCTGGGCTTTGGCCTGGAGGATCTAGGTACAAAACAGGACTTTAACCACTGTAAATTCATCAGTATCCCATCCCCTTTCACCTTCTTAACCAAACTAATGGCCAAAAGCCAGGCTCAGTGTGTGGATCATGCCTATAATCCCTGCCTCAAGGCGGGCAAGGTAGGAGAACTGACCCGAATTCCAGGAAAGCCTGAACTCTAGAGTGAGATTCCTTCACCCCCTCCCCGAGAGAACTGCAATTAGACAGTGGCCACAAAGTCAGTTGTTTGGTCATAAAGGTGAAGACGCACAGCATGGGTCTTGGGACCCAGCTGCAGGTCAGACTGTCCTACAGGGGACTGTCACAGTCTCCCCTCCACTAGGTGAGCTTCCTGCTGTTCCCCCAAATTCCTTCCCCCAAACGGGAGAAGGGGGCACAGAAATTTCTTACTTACATGCATTTTGCTGAAACTTTAATTGCTTTCTTGCTAGTATTTCCTGACATCAGAAGCCTGTGGCAACTCTATGACATGTGATGACTATTTTATTTAGCACATTAAAAAACAAAAAAAAACCAATAAAAGGGTCTGCCTATATTGTAATTAGCTTCTAGACTTCACATGCTTAGGCCCTGCTCCACCGTTGCATTGGTGGGGGTTGTTTGTTTGGAGTTTTTTCCTCTTCTTTTGGACAACTGAGGTAAAAGGTAGCAATTATGAGATGACTAGAGTCTAGCCTACAGCTTCCTATTTGAATGACAGAAAGAACGTGCGATGTTTTATGGTACTTATGGTTCTGGCATCTCCGTGCTCTTACAGATAACTAGGGGAGAGGTTTCTCTGGATTACTTACCGCTTCTTTGGAAATGGCTGCTGCTGATGGTGTTATGTGTGGGGATGCTTCTGGGGGCAGTTGCGCAAATTCTTCATCCTTAAACATCAGAAATGGGAGGGAGATCAGTGGTTTAATACAGCACACATGAGCATCCACCATGAATAGCAGGAACTCTTAACTACTTTATATTATGTAGCTTTTGAAAGGCAAAAAAATCTAAAATTTATATGTAATTAAAATGTTGATTTAAAAAGGTACTTTTGGCAGTGCTGGGGATGGGGTCATGGTTTCACGTTTCCCACAAGCCTTTACCAATGAGCTCCATGCCTAGTCCCGTAGGAATTATTTTTAGAAACAGATTAAACGCATAATAGATGTTCTTTATTACCAAGTAGTACTGTATTGAATATGATGGTTTCTGTTTCATTAGGAGGATTAAAAACGCAGAGAATTGGCTGGGTGGGCATGTCTGTCATCTCAGCCCCGGGGAGGCTGAAGCAAAGGATTGGGAGTCTGACTCAGTCAGATCTTGTTTGGAGGAAAAGAAAATTAACATTGAAAAAAGTTGTTTTTCAGCTTAATCAAGTAGAAAGAAAGTAGCTAACCTTAGTTCCCTTTAGTTGAGGCGCAGGATCTACAACATTCTCTTGTGACTCAGGGGAAGTAGATGACGTCACGACAAGGTTTGACTTTGGGGCCTGGGGAAACATTACGTCAGTGTAAACTGTCCTGCCCAGAAGCTCTTCTAAAGCAATATGTGCCTTGAGCCATTTGCCTTCCTCTGTGTGAGTGTGTGGTGTGTGTGTGTGTGTGTGTGTGTGTGTGTGTATGCGTGTGCGTGCACATACGTGAGTATGTCAAGAGACAGAGGCAGATAGGGTCTCACTGTGTAGATCTGTCGACTAAGAACTCACCCTGCTGTGATTAAAGGTATGTGACTGACTACAGCTTTCTCTATTTTGTTGTTTTGAGATGCATTTCACTGTGAAGAGTAACTTGGAACTTACTATATAAACCAGGCTGGTCTTGAACTCAGAGATTCCTCTGCCTTTGCCTCCCAAGTGCTGGGGTTAAAGGCATGCACTACCATGCCTGGTAGACCAAGCCTTTCTTTTTCTTTTCTTTTTTTTTTTCAATTCAAGTTCATTTCCCTTTACTAGACTAAGCCTTTCTTGACTTACATGGAATATATTCCCGCAACAGTAAGTTAGTATTTGAATTTTGAGCATCCTATACACAAAACTTGCATACTATTTAGATTCAAGGATTTAAAATACTTAATTCTAGGCCAGCCAGGGCTACATAGTTAGACCCTGTCTTAAAAAAAAAAAAGTAAGCTGGGCACTGGTGGCACACGCCTTTAGTTCCAGCACTCGGGAGGGAGGCAGAGGCAGGCGGATCCCTGTGAGTTCGAGGTCAGTCTGGTCTACAAGTTTAGTTCCAGGATAGGCTCCAAAGCTACAGAAAAACAAAACAAAACAAAAAAAAGTGGTGGTGGCGCAAGCCTTTAATTCCAGCACTAAGGAGGCAGAGGCAAGTGGAGATCTCTGAGTTCAAGGCCAGCCTGGTCTTCAGAGTCAGTTCAAGGACAGCCAGGGCTACACACACACACACACACACACACAGAGACACAGAAAACCTCTCAAAAAACCAAAACAAATGAGAAAACTACAATTAAAAAAATGACTAATGAGCTGAATGAAGAGACAAAAAGTTAACATTCTAAACTCTTGTTGACTTGAAAATGTATAGACGGTTGAACAAATGAAATAAATAGGAAAGAAAAGGAACCATTAGTTTAAAAGGAGAAGAATACAGGGTTGTTAATGAAGAATACTCATGTTCCTAAAGTCCTGCCTGCTCTGACTTGAAGACACTGTTCTCCGGAGAGGCCTGTGGGATGGCAATCCAGGTTCAGCATGAGTTCACTGACCTCTATATCTGGTGGCAGTTCAATAGGCTTTGGCTTCACATCTATCAGGTAGAAGGTACGTGACAGGAGCAAAAGAGAAGGGGGGACGTTCTCCTTCAGGTGGAGGTCCAGCCACTAGAGAGTGGATGATAACAAGACAGAGTCAGAGACTGTAGTAGCCAGAGAGGACCTATGGTCATCTGCTTCCCTCACCGGACCTCTTCCCAAGCACATTGGTAACCTGTGGCCCAAGGATGAAAACACCAGCCTCCTGGCTTCTGTCCCTGGGCAAGTACCTAGCAACTGCTGGTCACTTAAACTCTCCAGCCAATTCCCAATCCAAATCGCTACAGATCTTCTCTAAAGAGAAAGATGGTATCAAAGAAGACACCAGAAGCCAGGGAATCCTGTAATCTAGACTTGGGAGGCTGAGGCAGGAAGCTGAGTTCAAGGCCAGCCTGAGTTACCTGGTAAGAGCCTATCTCAAAGTGATGAACAACCTGTTAACCAAAGAATTCAACATTAGAATGAAGGTTTTGAAGCATCAAATTGGCCAAGTTTTTTGTTTGCTGTTGTTCTTGCAACATTATTTTTGCAGCCCAGGCCTCTCACTTGGGATGCTCTTGGCACAAGACTCCTAAGTGCTGGGGTTCAGACATGGGCCACTGGGGTGCAACTGTTTTGTAAAATCAACACACAACAGTGACACACATACTGTTTTGTACTTTGCTTGTGTGTGTGTGTGTGTGTGTGTGTGTGTGTGTGTATGAGATGTATAAGTGTGGGTCCGAGTATGAAGGTCAGAGGACAACTTTTGGAAGGCATTGTGTCCTTCTGCTGTTGGTTCTGGAACCTGAACTCAGGTGCCAGGCTTCTGCCAGATGAGCCATCTTGTCAGCCTTTTCCATCCTTTGCTTCTTATTCCTTAAGAAATACCTTAGGAAATACCTTGATTCTTGTCAGTTGATGCAGTAATGCCCCCTGAAATATTTGGACAGGTTTCCATTGTATGTAAATGTCATGTTTTACTTGATAATCCTATTTACCTTTGGGATAATTCTATTAATTAAAAATGGTACTGCAAGGATGATGGTAGTAAATGCCTTTAATCCCAGCTCTCAGGAAGTAGAGGCAGGTAGATCTCTGAGCTCAAGGGCAACCTGGTCTACATTGTTCTAGCAAGTGTTACATAGTGAGATCCTGTCTCTAAACAAACAGAATAAAATAGAGTGTGCACTGCTCCCGCAGAGTGCACACTACTCCTGCAGAGTGTGAACTGCTCCTACAGAGAACCTAGGTTCAGTCCTCAGCACCCACACCAGGCAGCTCACAGCTGTCTCTAACTGCATGCAGCTCCAGGAGATCATCAGATGCTTCTGGCTTCCATGTGTCTGTTGTTCTCAGGACAGGGTCTCCTGCCCTCTTGGTAATTGAACTCTTGGTAATCCCCATACTTCAGCTTCCTGAATGCTAGCATTACAGGTAACATCTACCAAGCTAGGCGGTGTATGTGTTTTTAAATTTTGAAAGATGATGCAGTTTGTCTTCATGGAGTTTTTATTTTTCAACTAGCAGTGCAGAAGTGCCCTTCTATCCAAGCTCTAACAAAGTCTGGACTTCACTGATGTGAACTGACTGTGTCTTTGTTACAAGATCGTTCACATGTTTATCATTTTAAATATCTTTTGTTTTCTTGAGACAAGGTCTTACTCTGAAGCTCAGGCTGTCCTAAAACTTACTGCACAGCCCAAGCTTGTCTCAACTAACGGCACTCCTTCTGCCTCAGCCTCCCGTGCACTGGGATCACCCTCTACAAATGTTCATCTTCCAGCTATAGCTAGTGTAAGAGGAGAATAGCTACCTGACATGGCTGCTGTCCCCAAATAGTCTTCACATGTCATGGTGGTTTTTACAATGGTAACACTGAGGACCCCACAGGAGCTGTTCCTTGGTTTTCAAGTGTGTTGCTGCTGTCAGAACCCAAGTGTGCTCTCTGATGGGTGGTACAGACATGTACTACCAAAGCCAACACTGTGCACTGATTTGTAGCACAAGAGGAAAAAGCAGTCAAAGTGGGCTCCTGGACAAGGTCTGGACCCTGCACAGGCTGATAATGATGACCCTTTGTAGGGGAATTTCTGACAAGAAATTTGGTGGAGGCAAATTCCCAGTCGGCACCAACATCTCCCAGATGTACACACCTCCAGTTATTCAAACATCAGTCTAGACCAGTGGTTCCCAACCTGTGGGTCATAACCCCCTTGGGGATTGAATAACTCTTTCACAGGGGTCACCTAAGGCCATGGGAAGACAGACACATATCTACATTAAAATTCATAACAGTAGCAAAATTAGTTATGAAGTAGCAACCAAAGAATGTTATATTGGGGGTGGGGGCGGGGCTCACCACAACCAGAGGAACTGTAGCAAAGGAGAGCAGCCTTAGAAAGGTTGAGAACCACTGGTCTAGATGCTTTATGAAGGGATTTTACAGATGGAATTGAGGTCCCAAGTCAGTCTACTCTTAGATAAGATCCAGAGGGGCTAGACCTGGAGGCCCAAAATGAGTGCAAGATTTGAAGCATGAGCGGTCTGGCACATGGCAGGTTTGGCCGATGGAAGAGGGGACCAAGAGGTGAATGCTACAGGTGGCCTCTTGGCGCCGAGAGTCGGTGGGCTGGCAGCCAGGGAGGAAACAAGAACTTCTTCCTGCCTACAGCTGCAGGGAACATGGCTCAGCCAACAAGAAGGCATGTGGGAATGGATTATTCCCCAGAGACTCCAGAAGGCAATACAGCCTGCACTTGTGACCCTTGGGTTGCTCTGTGATCATTTCTAACCATGGAGTTTGTAATAGCATTGTAGAAAACTGTGTGGTTCCCTGTCCCTGTCCAAGGGGGAAACAAACCTCTTTAGGGCATGTTTAATTGCTTGGTGACATAAAGCCAGTTAGGTATGGTGGCTTAAATGTTTGGACCTGAAATGGTTCTCCAAGTTCCATATGCTCAAAGCCTGCTCACCAAACTATGGTGATGCTTTTAAGGGGTGAGGCCTCACGGCCTGAAGGGAACTGAAGGGTTCTAGAGGACCTTGTCTCCTTTTCCTTTGCCTTTTTTAAAAAATCAAACACCAATAACAAAACAGGGTCTCATTTCATAGCCTCTAACTCACAGAGACCTGCCTGCTGCTGTCTCCGAAGAGCTGGGATTAGAGGCGTGCTTGTCTTTCTCTGTTTCTTGACCACTGTAAAATGAACAGGACGTCTCTGCTGTGCAGTTTTGTAAGGTAAACTGCTGGCAAAGAACCAGAGAAATGGGACCAAGCAACCGCTGGCTGAAAGCTTGGAAGCCGGGAGCCATCACAAATCTTGTGCCTTCGGATGCATGTTGTCAAGGCAATGGACCGCTGGCTAATCCAGCCTGCAAAGCAGAAATCAGCACGTGAAGTGGGGAGGGCTGCCGTGCTGCTTGCCTCTGTGAGTTGCTGCCGCAGTTGCTCCTCCGTGAGGCCCAGCGATCGCATCCCTCGGGCCCGGCAGGCGGCCTGGAGCTCTGACACACTCAGAGCCTTCACCCCTTCTGTGGCGATTATCTGCAAGATGTGGAGAATAGTGTTAGATATTTGGCTTTCAGTTTTACTCAATGCCTGTATTTCAGAAAAATGGACAGAACCCCTAAATTTGATGCTTTGGCCCTTTGCCCCCAACACTGACTGCTGCAGACCAGAAAGGTAGCGGTTGAGAGGCAAGGGTGGTGCTGATAGGCAGCAATAAGATACTTATATATCAGCCCCCAACATTTTATCAGTAGAGTACTTCCTGTCTTGGTTTGGATTTTGCCTGGTTGTAACATCTACTTTTCCTTTTTTTTTCTTTTTAAAGATTTATTATGTATACAATATTCTGCCTGTATGTATGCCTACAGGCCAGAAGAGGGCACCAGACCTCATTACAGATGGCTGTGAGCCACAGTGTGGTTGCTGGGAATTGAAGAGCAGCCCTTGCTATCTTGCTCCAGCCATTTTATTTATTTATTTATTTATTTTGGCTTTTTAAGACTGGGTTTCTCTGTGTAGCCCTTGGCTGTCCTGGAACTCATTCTGTAGACCAGGCTGGCCTCGAACTCACAGAAATCGCCTGCCTCTGCCTCCTGAGTGCTGGGATTAAAAGAGTGTACCACCACGGCCCGGCTCTATTCTGCCGTGAAAAGCTTTCGCACACCATTTGCCACAAGTCTCAGTGCTGTCTCCCTGTCACCCACCCAGGATGAGCTAAGTCCTCTGGCCCACATGTGACCCAAAACTACAGTTCTTCTGGGACCAGTACTGTTTACACCAGAGTTCTGAAAGCAACACCCAAAGTCTAATAGGGCAACGTGCTCTTGTCATCTCTGTTTTGGGAAACCTGCTCCCAGCAGACTAATACAGCAGCTGATTTTGACTCAACAAACATTCTTTCCACGTTTTAAAGGAGCCTAATTAGGAGTTATACCCCAAATGGTGCCTGCTGCAAGCTGGCTTGCCTTGGTTTTCCTCCTACCATCGTGCTCTGCCACCTTGTTGTTTTAACCAGACTAACTCACCCAGCAGAATATTAACTTTGGCACCAGTTCCTGTGCAGGAGAATAGAGGGGTGTGTGTGTGTGTGTGTGTGTGTGTTTGTGTGTGTGTGAGGGCAGAATGCTGCCAAGAAACCAGAGCTGATATTTCCTTCCCAGCAGGTGCTAACTACTTTAGATTAGTCCCAGCTAATACATCCAGATTACTGGCTGCCCACGACAGCCTTTTATGGAAGACAGATCCTGATACAACAAACAAACATTGAAATGAGTAGTGAAACTGGAACTTGTCATAGCGATGGCTTTTTTAAAACATTCATTCTGCCAGAATGCTTCTATGACAGACCCAACAGAAAACAGCGCATTTCACAAAGGTACCCCCAGATGCCTCTGGACCCCCATTGCTGGGCTGAGGCTCTTACTTCGTCATCTGCTTTTATAGATTTCAGTGTCATCAGGAGCTGGAAGCGGAGCAAGTTGTTCGTTCCGAAGGCCTGCAGCTCCAGCAGCTTGCACAGGGCAACCAGCTGGGGTCGATCCAAGTGTTCCAGGGCTAACTGATCCTCAAAGAGTTTAGAGAAGCGAACTATCTCCTTAGTGCTGGGCTTGTGGCCTGTCTGGACCTGGGCAATGGGACAAAGGGCAATTAAAAGGTGTTTCCTATTTTACATAAACCTAGTAGACTGTTTGAGGGAGATGGCAAAGCAGCTAGAGACTTTATGTATTGTATGGGTTCATTGGGAATAAAAAAAAAAAACATGTCTAGTGAGGAACTGTGGCTCAGTGGGAACCGGGCACCTGGCGTGCGTGCCAGGTTCAATGCCAGTCTAACCCCACCCCCCAACAAAGCTCTTCTTAGAATCAAACTCAGTGACTAAAAAAATCTTAAGTATTTCTAAAGTTTATACTGGTCTTTCTTTCCATGATGATCACTTTAAGGTGGCCTTTGCTGCTGCTGTTTTGCAAACTACTCTAAGTGTTTAAAATGTATATTTATAATTTCGATATGTGGCATTTCAGAGACTCTGAACACTCTTGATGATCCATGAGGACACACTTCTTCTGTAACTCCAGCCCAGAAGTCGCTGGCCTACTGCGAGCCCCTGACACCTGTTTTACATAGGAGAAAAGCTGGGAAGAGGCGTCTCCCAACTTGGCTCGGTTTCTCTTTGCCATTTCTGTCATGGTCTCTTGAAGGAATTTTGCTATTTCCAATTTTGCAGCCATCTTTTTTCTTTGTTTTTCTTCCTTAAGAGAAGAGGAAAAAGTTTATCACAAGTGCAGGTTGGAAGTGACGAGAGAAATAACCTCCTCCCTGCTACTGGGCACCCCCACCACACACATCACAGTAACACTCTTAGCAGGCCCGGTTAAGTTTGTAAGAACCCAACCACTGTAAAGGGGCTTCCACTTAACCTGTCTCCTTAATCTTGCATTTAATTCTCATTAAAACAATGATAATAAGTTCCAATGAAAGGCTCTCTTATTAGATAAGTCACACCTCCTAACCTCACCTAGGTTGCTACTTAAGCCAGACTCTGGTAGATAGCTCCAGATTTTGCTCTACAAGGAAACTAACTCAATGCTAATCATCTTTACAGTTTAAATAGAAAATATGCAATTATAATACAGTGCACTGTATGCTGTAATAGATTTGAAAAAAAAAGCACCATACAGAAGAGAATTAAATATACATTCTTTTTGTTGTTGTTTGTTTGTTTTGTTTTGTTTGAAACTGGGTCTCTATAGATCCCTGACTGTCCCAGAACTCACTATGTAGACCAGGCTGGCCTCAAACACATAAAAATCCACCTGCCTCTGCTACCTGAGTGCTGAAATTAAAGGTGTGCATCACCATGCCTGATTTAACGTACATTTTTTAAAAAGATTTATTTATTTATTATGTATATAGTGTTCTGCCTGTATGTCTGCCTGCAGGCCAGACCTCATTACAGATGGTTGTGAGCCACCATATGGTTGCTGGAAATTGAACTCAGGACCTCTGGAAGAGCAGCCAGTGCTCGCTAACTGCTGAGCCACCTCTCCAGCTCCTTAATGTACATTCTTAAGACACTGTTGCCTAGTAGTTGCAAATCCTCATTCATCATCAGAAATACAGTGGTTATTTTTGAAATAACCATGGTCAAAATGCTGGGCACAGGGGAGACAGAAGCGGATATAGTTAAGTCACTTATTCAAGAACATTATCATTAGAATGCTGGGGGTTGTTTCTAGATCCTGATTATTTTAAATGTAAGTAAATTAAGGCCTGCAGTTCTCGCAGCTTGCAAAGGGCATCCAGCTAGAGTTTAAGTAAATTAAACCATCTTCAGACAGTTAAACATTATAGTTTGATTTTCCACTTTAATCGCAAATTAAAGTCTAGGGGCATAGCTCAGTGGTAGAATGCTTGCCAAGCACGCACGAGGCCCTGAAGTCTATTCCTAATATCACTAAGAGAAAAAAAAAACAACAACAAAGGAGCCAGATGTGGTGGTGCACACCTTTGATTCCAGCACTCAGGAGCCAGAGGCAGGCAGATCTCTGTGAGTTTAAGGTCAGTTTGTTCTATATAAGGAGTTCTAGGCCAGCCAGGGCTGCATGGAGATGACCCTGTCTCAAACAAAACAAAACAAAACACAAGCACGAAAAACGAACTTTATCTCAGATCTATCTTCCAGTCTCTATTCTTATTGTCAGCCTCATGATTTCAGTTCTGCCTGTTTCCTTCTCCTGGCTCTGTCCCGTTCAGTCCTTCTGCCGGCAAAATTACTTTCCTAAAATACAGAGCTAATCATGTCGCCCATTACTACTTCAAGTTCTAGCTTCTCTTCACTGCAGTCAAAGGCAAAGTTCAAATTCCTGAGCGTGGGCGATGCTTTCCAGCCTGACATTCCTTTTGTCTGTCTCCCGCTACTGAATCCTTGTCCAGCCTTCTCCCAGACCTACAGATGGTGGTAAACTTTCACCCTTTCTCTGAACCTCAGCTCCAAAATTCTTTCCATGAAACATTTTCTTGTTTTTTACGCAGCATTTTCCAGTCTTACAGATGGACAGATTTATTGTCCCCTAGGAGTGCTTTATGACACTGTCTAGTAGAGACACAGTGGCGGGGTGGGGGGAAAGGATGGACGGACAGACAGACTTCTTTTCTAGCCCAACCCCTTTGCAGTCACTAAGACACCTTCCCTAGTTTACATCTCACAAGTACTGAGGATAAACCACACCTAGGCTCATTAAATAAATAGCAATAGATGTTTGTCTTTATTATTTAAAATAAACCTTTAAAGGTATTTATTATTATTTTATGGTTATTTTGCCTGCATGTATGTATGTCTGTCCACAGAGGTAGAAGGCATTGGATCCCCTGGAACTGGAGTTACGGATGGTTGTGAGCCACCATGTGAGTGCTGGGAATTGAACCTGGGCCTCTGCAAGAACAGCCAGTGCTCTTAAACTCTGAGCTATCTCTTCAGCTCCTTTATTATTTTTTATTTTTTGGAACTCAATATGTAAACCAGGTTGACACTGAACTTACAGCTCCCTTCCTTCCTTTCTGTCTCCATCTCTTTCTCCTTTCTCTCTCTTTCTAGCAGTTAAAATAAAAACAGAATGTAATGATGCATACCTTTAATCCCAGCACTTGGGAGGCAGAGGCAGGAGGATCTCTGTGAATTTACAGGACAGCCTGGTCTACAGAGTGAGTTCCAGGACAGTCAGAGCTACATAGTGAAACCCTGTCTCAAAAATAACCAAAACAAACAAATTAATAAAATATAGTAGAGATAGAACATTCAATAAACAGTAATAAGAAAATTAAATATTTACATATAAAAATCCTGATACCGATATTACACACTTTCATAATATCAAATTTTCATAATAAAACAGACTGGATTGTACAAGCAAAGACAAAATACAAAACTATAACAATCCTAGAAAAAAAGTAGTAGAAAAGTTTAACTTGGGGCTGATGAAATGGCTCAGGAGTCAAAAGCACTGATTTCCAGAGGACCCGGGTTCAGTTCCTAGCACCTACATTACCCTCTGTAACTCCAGTTCCAAGAGGTCCAATGCCCTCTTCTAGCCTCCTCAGGTACCAGTCAAGCATGTGATGCACAGATATACATGCATTCCAAACACCTATACAATCTAAGTGACCTCGGGTTTGTGAACCAGCTGCCAGCTGTAGCTCCAAAGGCATGGCCATTTAGAGTGAACCACATTTCCCTATCACTGGCAAAGACCTGGGATCCATTCACAGCAATGGAAAGGGGAAAAAAATGCTAGAGCCATTTCCAGGAATCGGGGGGGGGGGGGGGGGTAAAAATAAGGCACAGACTAGGAGAAAATATTTACAAAGTATATATTTGATAAAGGACTTGTATATAATACACAGAGAACTCAAAACAATAGAAACAAAATACCCAATTACAAAGTGGGCGAAAAGGAGCTTTGGAGATGGCTCAGTGGGTAAAGTGCTTGCTCACTCAGGCATAGGGACCAGAGTTCCACCTGCCTGTAGTCCTGCTCTATGGGACACAGTAGCAAACTGGCCAGCTTATACTAGCCAAATCAGTGAGCTGTGGGCTTTAAGTGAGAGACACAAAGTCTCAGAGCTGATTATCTATGTATCTGTCTGTCTGTCTAATCTATAGATATCAGAACTCTCTTTAAAGTGCCTATCCACACCACACACACACACACACACCAATGGTGGGCAAAATAAACATACATTCCCTCAACCAGGTGGTAGTGGAGCATTCAGGAAGGCAGAGACAGGTGGATATCTGTGAGTTCGAGGAGGCCGACCTGAGATATACAGAGAAACCCTGTCTCGAAAAGCCAAACCAAACCAAACCAAACAACAACAACAACAACAAAAAAAAAAAACATACATCACCTCAAAGAAGTTTTAGCAATGCCAAAGCAGCTATCCGCTACACACCTATTAGAATGGTTAATATCCAAAGTACAGTGTCAAACGCTGGGGAAGACAGGAAATGGCATGCTTGGGTAAAAGGCAGAATGCACGGCTGCTCTGGAAAACTGTTCAGCAAATTTTTACAACGCTAGATACAGTGTTACTGTGTGCAATCACTCTTGCTCAAGTTAAAAAAAACCCTGAACACAAATATTCATAGCATTTTTACTTATACCTGCCCAAATTAGAACCAATCAATTTCCAAAAGATGAATGGATTTAAAAAGCACTTGCACATTCATAAATAGAATTAAAATATTTTCATAGAACTTCATTATTAACTTTTTCTGCATTGGATTTTCAAATATGAAGTTATAGGAAATTGTGAGATGCTACATGGTGCTGAGAACTGAAACAGGTTACTCTGCCAAGAGCAGAGAGTGCTCTTAACCACTGAGCCATGTCTAGTCCCTTGTGCAAGAACTGTAAATGCATACTTCTAAGTGGAAGAATCCAGTCTGGAAAGGCTTCACAGTGTGTGATTCTGGAAAAGGCAAAACTGCAGAGTGAAAACATCTGCAGTTGCCAGACTCAGAGAAACACAGTAGGTACAAACAGGTAGGGGACTCTGAGTTTCAGATGGCGAGGCTACTCCTCACGGACACTGTGATGGTGGGCAGGCCAGTGCTACGGAGCTGACAGAGCTGCGTACCACGACGCGGGAGCCCCAGTGTCAAGCATGGGCTTTCATTAATAACAGCGTATGATGTATTAACATCAGTTCCTCAGTTACAACGTGCACCACACAGACACAGCCTGTGGGAAACGGGTGTGGTCCATGGCAAGTCTGCACTTTCTGCCCATTTTCCTGGAAACCTACAAAACTGCTCTAAAAACTAAAGTCTATTCATTTTTTAAAAAAGGTTTTAAAATTCTGTATACCTTTTTGGATTCACTTTCAAAAGTTGATGGCAATATGTCTGGGAAGAGCTTCAGAAACACTGGTATCAAGAATTCCATAAAAGGCACAATTATGAACACCATAAATGGAACCAAGCGGAAGACATCAGCGCAAGTTCTCAAAAGCTAAAGAGACAAAGGCATGAGCAATATTACACATCCAGGACATGCCCAAACCAAGCAAGAATGTCCAGCAGAACACAGCCTGCCTTGGTATTCAAAGCGCGTAAAAAACTAAGGTTTTCTACAGCTGGAAAGGTCAAGTCTTTCCTTCAATGAAGCTCTGAAGTAGCGTTAATGGGCTACCTCGGAGAAACCTATGACAATCAATATGCATTAGTGGCATCTCTTAAGGGTCCACATTTTGATAACACAGTATTAGTTAAAATTAATTTTTCCTTTTTGAGAGGAGGGGTTTACTATGCTGCCCAGGCCAATCTTAGACTCCTGGACTTAACTGATCCTCCCCACTTAGTGTTCCCAGTACCCAAGATTAATAGTATGTTCCAATGCACTTGGCTTTAAAATTGGTTTTAAAAATTTATATATATGTATATATATATATATTTAATACATTAACAACATTAATATTAGGTTAGGATTAGGTTGTCTTTCGAGACAGGGTTTCGCTATGCAGCCCTGTCCTGGAACTCATCCTCCTGCCTCTGCCTCCAATGTGCTGGGATTAAAGGTGTGCACCACCACAGCCTGGCTTATATTTCTAATATACAAAAATTTCAAGCCTCTCAAATCCTTGAAGAGTTTAAAAAAAAAAAAACAACCCACACAGAATTAGCTGGAGAGAGGGCTCAGCAGGTAAGAGCACTTGCTGTTCTTCCAGAGGACATGAGTTCGGTTCCCAGCATCCTTGTCAAGTGGCTCACCATTGCTCCAGGGGAGCAGATGCCTGTGGCTTCTGCAAACACCTGTGCTTGCGTGCACATGCCCACAAGCAGACACACACTTTTACACACCTTAAAATGGAATCCTAAAACCTCACAACTCTGCAGGCAGATATTCTAGCCAGTTGAAGACAAGGTAAGATGAGAATGAAACAAGCTCTCTGGGCTGGGAGTGCTTGCTCAGATTCTCAAGGAGGAACCCTGGCATGGCACAAAGCTTTGGTTTCTGATCAGTAGCTATAATTTCCACCTTAGGGTGGGGAGCACTCTGCATCAAACCCAGGGCTTCGAGTATCATTAGGAAGTCACCTAAGGATTTTTACGGTGAAGTTTCACTGTTTTAATTTTGCGTTTTCCATTTTAAATAGGGTTCTTGCCTACCCTTCGCCTCTCTCGTCTCGATAGCGCCTGTCCATGCAGTAGCCTCCAAACTATTCTGGCAGCAACTTTGGTGTCGATCCAAAGTAAGTAGAATCCATTGTAATAATATTTGAGTTCGTGCATGATTTTTTGTCTAAAGGACAAAATTTTTTGCCTTTCTTCTGTAGTCTCTGTCTCCACTTCTCTGGGAGGCTGAGGGCTCGCTGGCTTAGGTTTTACTGGGATTTGCTCCGGCTGAGGTTTACCAGGGATATTCTGTAGCCAACACGTTGTGTGTAGTTTTTGTGTGAGTCTAGCTCGTAAAGGGTGGACTTGAGTGCTTGGTAGACTGGGACAGGAGTACTTCCTGCTTCCATAGGTCGTCCGAAAATGAGAATCTGGCAAGTGGAGAAACGCAAGTGATAGGGAATGGGAGCAGGAAGGATAGAGAAAATGGCTGGGCAATCTGGAAAAGAGAACAGTATTCTTTCAGTGAGATGTATCATTACAAACAAAAAACAATAAGCTTGTACCCAACTGATGTTTATTAATGATCAGAATATAATTGTATGTGTGTGTATACTTGCATGTTCCTGGGCATTAACCTAGGACCTTAAACTTCCTAAGAATGTACTGTATCATTGAGCTCCAACCCCTACTCCTCAGCCAGAGATACAACGTTGGTTCTTTTTTTGTTTGCTTGTTTTCAGTTTTTTCGAGACAGGGTTTCTCTGTGTAGCTTTTGAGCCTGTCCTCGAACTTGCTCTGTAGACCAGGCTGGTCCTGAGCTCATAGAGATCTGCCTGCCTCTGCCTTCTAAGTGCTGGATTAAAGGTGTGTGTCACTAAGATGACAGTGCTAGCAACCAAAAGTATTTCACCTATACTAGGCCAAGTGTTCAACCACTGAGCTATACCTCAACCCATAGAACTTCTTAAACAGCTGAACTGTGCTCAATTATTAAACATATCCTTAGAAAAAATATTAATAGAATGGTAATTTGCTATAGCAAGCTAGAAATTCTGTAACTATTATTTTAAATATCTAGGGGCCAGTGAGATAGCCCAAGGGTGTCAAACCCTGGTTAGCTGGAAGAATAGAACTGACTTCTACAAGTTGTCCTGTGATTACCAAAAGGGTTCCAGGGGTATGTTCTCCCCAGGAATTAAATAACAAAAAACTTAAGACATCTTATTTGAAAAAAAAATCTATTCGAAAACATATTTCTGCCAGGGATGATGTTTGATAGTACTGTCTCTATCTACTCTCATAAAACAGATGATTTGACTTTGCTATTAGCTACTTTAGTGATAACAAAGAATGTTTTAATGAAGTAACTTCATAGCCCCTGTGAGGACTAGCCAATTATGTAACATTGCTTTGTCCATGTGTCTGTGGACTCCCTCAAAGTGATGAAACATAATTTCCCTAAAATCCCTCAAGAGCACATAAAAGTAGGAATTAGAATTGAGCACCCCAACCAATACTGAAGTTAAACCGGAACATAAGATCTTATGAACAAAACACATCCAAATAAAGCTACAGGCATCTAGCCAGTCATAGAGTGCCGCGTCCCTTTAATCCCAGCACTGGGGAGGCAGAAGTAGGTGGATCTCTGTGAGTTCGAGGCCACCCTGGTCTACAGAGTGAGTTCCAGGACAGCCAGAGCTACAAAGTGAGGTCCTGTCTTGCAAAACAACAACAGAAAAAAAAAAAAGGAAAAAAAAAAGCTATTGACAAAGAGTTGGTTGGTTTTTGTTTTTGGCTAAAAGATGTCTTTTTCCCATTCTTTAGTCAAATGTTTTGAAACATAACAATAAATATACTCTTTAAATGGCCAAAAGGGAAAATACACAATGAATGCAGCACATGGGGAGTTTTCAGTAGTGTTCTGAACACATATGTGACAAGAGACAAGAGCCCTGGCCTGAGCTTCTTCATGAGCCATTCTCCTCCTATAACTGAGGTCCTCATGTGATATTCCATAACAGAAATGCCACTCTAAACTAGTGCATCGATTTTCCTTCTAGAACACATCTACAGGATTGCTTTAAAGCAGTTTAAATCTAACTATGAGCTCCCTAAGGATGTATTTAAAATTCAGCGAGGTTTTGTGAACTCTGCGAAACCTTTTGCTGGTTTCTTTTCTCTTTTTTTGAGACAGGGTCTCCATAGATAGTCCTGGCTGGCCTCAAACTCACAGAGATCAGCCTGCCTCTGCCTCCTGAGTGCTGGGATTAAAGGTGTGTACCACCACATCTGGCCAGAAGCCAATCCTTTTACACACATTATTTTCCATAGAGATGCATGAATTCGTATACATATCTGTGGGAAATTCTGAACCTTACCTTGTCCACAACATAGCTAAGAATGAATTATAACTGTAGATGGCCATATTTATTTTTTGTTTTAACTAGCCAATAAAGAGACCTAGGCAAAAGAAGTGAATAATTTAGTATTTTAAAAAGGCATCAATTAAAAAGCAGAATTCAGTTTTGTTAAACTAATGCAAGTGGAAATTTGAGCATTCAAAGTGCAAAAGTTCCTTCAAGCTCATGGAAACAGTCACGGTAGTAGCTCTGCATGTGAAAACGGTACATTTGCGATCCCAAAACACAGAAAAGGGTTGGTTCTAAGAAGGTGCTCGCGAAGACGACATGGCCTCCAAAGGCTTTTTTATTTCTGGTCAATAGTGTCTAGTAATCTGCTGCGACGGTTAAAAGGAGAAAGACATCTTTATCTGTAACCAGAAAATACAAGCAGAGAGTAAACATCCTGCATTCATTTTCGGTCCGTTTCCCACACTGTTTAGCCAAGCTACAGTCAACCCTAAAGTCTAAAAAGTATTCACTCATGTCATGCGAGGTTACACATCATTAGAGATAGGTACCATTGCACATGGTACCTCTAATGGTTCAAATGCAGATGAAAACGGATCCCATCCAAGTGTTACTGAATCTCGGGATTCAGTACCTGTAACTAAAACCGTTCTCCATCCTGAGCTGCTTTTCAGCTACTGGCAGCAACTCTGCTCTCTCGCAATCTCGCCGAGAGGAGGTTCCCCCTATAACTCTCCCCCACCCCACCCCCGATCCCGTGGAAACCTCAACCCCAAGGCTACCATCGCGAACCCGGCTCAGCACCTCGGAAACCAGCCCCACCGCGGTTAGCGCTCCTCCGGAGGGGGGCCGGGCCCGCTACGGAGGCTTCCCAGCCCTGGATCGCGGGCTACGGGCCACTCCCAGGCAGTCGGCCCGGCGTTTCGGGGAGCCCCAAGCCCAGCGCTACGGGGATCTCTGCACCCCGCGCTCGCCGCACCGGTGCAAAAGGCGCCCTCAGCTCTCGGCCGGCGGCCTCAGAGGATGTGGGGAGGACTGTTGTGGGTTTGGGGATTGCTGGAGTGGGGTTAGGTACACGGAAGGGGCGAATGTCAGCTGGGCGCCAAATTTGACGGGCCGGGTGGGAGGCTGAGGGATGATGCGGGAGGGAGCGCGAGCTGCCTGCGAGATGATGGGGACACCCAAACCCTACCTTCCCAATTCCTCCCCGCCCACAAGCTAGAGGGGCCGGAAGCCTAGTCTCCATGGTCCCGCCTCCTGCGCCTCGCCCTGTGACGTCACTCCGAATGACGCTACAACCATCCAATGAGCTCTCAAATTCTGGGAACGGCTCGCGTCCTTCACGGTAGCAGTGCGGAAGGCAGCTAGGTCCCCGTGAGAGCCCGTGAAGTGACTTGTAGGTTGGACTTAGTTTAGGAGGCGTCTGTACTACAGGGGCCAAAACTGCGTTAGTAACGTCTGATAGTCGACTTGATAACCCATCTCGGAGTCACTAGTGACATCGCTTCAATGGTTTTTCCTCTGTCCCTATGTCCACTCAAACTCTGAAACTGCCTAGAGGTCTCTGGTTGGCGGAGGAGATTGTGAGGTCCGGGTAGCAGAAGGGACAGCCTTGGGAAGGGAAACACCTTTCTTCTGCAGGGTCGAAGGTTGGAAGGCTGCTGGAATCGTCATATGGAATTTGAATTTCACTAAAGAAATTGGTTTCTTAATGTTGTCGCTTATTACTGGTTTGTGTAGAAATCTCAACATTTAAAATATATTCTAAAGTAGCTGTTAAATAAGGTAAGCATTGCAGGTTTGGGGAGACTTTAGTTCCTGGGGGGGAGGGGGCGGTGACTAAGCCACCTTTGGAAAGTGAACGTTCTGAAAGTTTGCGTGTTCCCATTTGTTCAGCTTTTATTTTTTTCATATTTATTTATTTATTTTTCCGAATCTTATGTAGCAGAGGCCAGTCTGGAACTTAATAGATAGCAGAAAATGGTCTTGAGCCCCTGAAATGTCTGCCTACCTTCTGAGTGCTTGGATTACAATTGTGCACCACTACGACCGACTTGGGCTTTTAAATTTATTTTTAATTTTTTTTGTGTGTGTTTTTTTGAGACAGGGTTTCTCTGTAGCTTTGAAGCCTGTCCTGGAATTCTGTGGACAGGCTAGCCTCAAACTCACAGGGATCCGCCTGTCTCTGCCTCCTGAGTGCTGGGCGTGCGCCGCCACCACCACCAGGCTTTGTTTAAGGTTTTTGACACAGGACTTCACTATGTAGTTCTGGCGGAACGGGACATGTTGTGTATATTTACCTCCCGACTGCTTGCATTTAAAGATGTGTACCACCATGCCTGGCTCAAATTTTTCTCAACCTTTCTCTCTCTGACAAATCTGGTCAAATTATGGGCTGAACAAAATAGAATAGTTTCTGAGGGCCAGGCGCGGTAGCACAACCTTTTATCCCAGTACATGAGAGGCAGACAGGCGGATCTCTGTGAGTTCGAGGTCAGCATGATCTACAAAGTGAGTTCCAAGGCAGCTAGGGCTACACAGCAGGATCCTGTTTCAAAAGAACCAAAAAAGGGAAAAGAAAAAAGAAATGCAGGCCGCTTTTAATCCACAAAAGTATATTTCAACTGAACCGAATGGACTATTTAAAATAAGCAAACGTTTCAGTTTGGCCGCTAGGGGTCCCTTTGTGCATGTCCGACAACTTTCCACATAGGGGTTTAGTTTCACAGTTGATCTTCAAGAATTAAAATTTACAAAACTTACCCTCTTCTTCTCTGCCTTCAGACAGGGTTTCACTGTGTAGCCCTGGCTGGCCTGGAATTCCCTATGTGAACCTGGCTATCCTCAAACTCACTGAGATCCTCCTGATCACCACACCAGGCTAAAGCTTTCTTTTCTCCCCCTGAAAATTCTAATGGTAAAATTATAAGCTCTACGATAATAATTTTAATATTGATTTAATAAGTGAACCATTGCATTATCATAAACATGTACTCTTTACAGAAAAGATTAATAAAGGATGCAAAAACATTCCTGTCGTCTCACAGTGAGATATTTAATACTGGAAAATTTCTTATCCATGTATTATATTCACTTACAAACAAGCACAGCAAGATTTATTAAGTATTTGTAAGCCAGCTGAACTAGCCCATACCCAATATTTGAAACACAAAGTAGATTTTCTAGCATGATCACAAGTCAGCAAGCAATCCAATTCTTAAAAATCGGGAGGGGGTAAAAACGCTTTTTATGAAGTCCATTTCTTTAAAGCAGTGAATACTCCAGGTTTGTATATTTTATCGGGCTTGACATTTGGATTTTAGGATAAATGTAAATTTATCTATTTATCTAAAAAATTTTTCAGAAGGGAAGCCCCCAAAAGTTTTTACTGCCATAACTCCGAGAAACCTATTCTGCTTCTGTCTTAATGACCTGTTTGCTCATTTACTACGAAAAGAGTAAGCATGTTCTTGAACCTCAGAATATGCTAGATGTTGAAAACATAGGCATTATGTGTGCCTACTTCCCTCAATAAAATCTCTAAGGGGCATTTATGAGCTCCTCAGATGGGAAATCCAAATGCCTGATTGAAAGGCGAGAGCGTTACAGGAGGAGGGAAGTGGAGAGGGCTGGGAGAGGATCATGCCAGGTCCACATCACTTCCCTGGCTCACCCTTATTTTACACATTTGCCTATTCGTAAGTGCAGTTGTGGCTTCTTTAAGTTGTAGTAATACTGAAGGATAGGTTAAAATAGTGAAAAGCCTGGCCTGGGACTCCTAGACTGTGATCCCAGCCACTGGGTAGGCTGAGGAAAGAGTTCCTGAGTCCAGTTGGAAACGAGCCGGGGCCACATAGCAAGCCCCATCTCAAAATAAATGAGTAAGAATAAATAGAAAATGGTTACAGATTAGCTGGGAATGGTGGGTTGTGTTTATAATCCCAGTACTCTGGAAGCTGAGACTGGAACGTTGGCAGGAGTTCAAGGCCATCTTTGGTTAACAAAACTTTACAGATTAACTGTAAAGTAGGCTAGGGAGGTGGTTCAGTAATGTGGCTTACATGGTGAAAGCCTGGAATCAACTCCCACAAGCGTCCTCTGATGTTAATACACAAAAATTAAAATGTTTTGGTTTTTTTCCTAGACAGGTTTTCTCTGTATAACAGCTCTGGCTGTCTAGAACTTGCTTTGTAGACCAGGCTGACCTGGAACTCAGAGATCCACCTGCTTCTGCCTCCCAAGTGCTGGGATTTAAGGCATGTGCCTCCATGCCAGGCATAATAATAATTAAAATAATGTAGAAAATTAATAGTAATGCCCCCCAGCCCCAGTGGTGGCAACATGGCTTAATTCCAGCACTCGGGAAGCAGGCAGGAGAACTATGAGTTTGAGGCTGTCCTGGCCTACATAGAGAGTTTTGGGATGGCTAGGGACCCTGTCTCAAAAATTTCACTAAATAAATAAAATCAATTGGATTGCTTTCAGTGTTACCCTTAGTATTAGCAGTCACGTTAACAAACACATACACATTTAGTGCCCATTAAAATCTCTGAACTGGCCCAGAGGTGGTGATGCACCACTTTAATCCCAGCACCTTGGAGGCAGAGGCAGGAGGATCTCTGAATTTGAGCCCATTCTGGTCTACAGAGAGAGTTTTAGGAAAGCCACGGCTGTTACACGCCTCAGAAAAGCAACAACCCCCCCCCCCACCCCCCAAGCTGGGTGGTGGTGGAGCACACCTTTAGTTCCAGCACTTGGAAGGCAGAGACAGGTGGATCCCTGTGAGTTTGAGGCCATCCTGGTTTACAAGAGCTAGTTCCAGAACAGGCTCCAAAACTACAGAGAAGCCTGTCTTGAAAAAAAAAAAAAACAAAATAAAAATAAACAACAAAAAAAGTCAAATCACTGAAATGAAGAAATTTTGTAAAATTTTGAGGTGGTGGGCTGGACAGATGGCTCTTGCAGAAGACCAGAGTTCGGCACCCCACGTGGTTGCTCACAACCTTTACCCATGACACCAGTTCCAGCAGATCTGACACCTCTTCTGACCTCCCCTGGCATGCACAAGACACGGAGATATACACGTGAACCACGCACTCAAAAACATAAAATTATAAAATCTTCCAAAATTTTTTCCAAGATGGTATTTGGAAAGAAATACATCAGAAATCTCCCGTCATGGTAGCAAATCGCACGAGCACTGTAATATCTCTGGCAAGAGAGTATGACACTTGGTAGTGATAGGGTTCTGGACTTCTCGGAACAGAAAGCAAGGGCGTGTATCGGTTTCCTCATCTGATCGCTACGTCTGTTCCTTTTGTAAGTTCACGTCTCTGGGTTGATGGTTCTAAGTAATCACCACTAGGCCCCAGGAAACTACCTCTGCACTCCCTGTTTACCCGGCCCTGTCATTGTTTCATTCCTATTTCCTAGAACGGGGAGGGCTGGAGGTTTGCAGAGTACGGCCTCCTTCCTCTCTCTCGGGTGATCGCTCAGGGACAAATACCCTCACGTCACTCGGTGCCGAGGTCTGGCCCCGAGCAGCGCAGGGCCCGGGCACGTGACCCGCCCGCAGTCTTGGCGGTGGCCCACGGCCCGGGATGCAGTCGCGCTGACGTCCTCCTGGTTACCCACAAGCCTCTGTGCCCCGGTGCGGGCAGGAAGAGGGCAGCCGGGTCCAGCGCCTGCCCAGGAGGTCGGGGTGCCTTCTGAGCCGGACGCGGACGCTGCTCGGCACCCCCTAAGCCCCCAGTGCTTGCAGCCTGGCAGCCTTCCGTCTCTCCGCGGGGCAGCAGGGGAGACTGCCAGCCCTGGCTCAGACTCTCGTCCTAAAGTGCAGCCCCTTGTCGGGACTCCGGGGGCCGGGGCGCTCTGCTGACAGCTGTCAGAGTGACAGCGACTCCCGAACCCGAGCACTCCCTGCTCTGCGTAACCTCGTCCGGCTCCTTAGGGTCTTCCTAACGTCTAGGAATTGTAGAGCAGGGCCACTCGAGTACCATATGGCGTCTAGTACGTGCTGCCGTTTAGTAAGTATTAGCCCCGCAGGCCCGACCTGGCCGCCCCTCCGCACCAGCCCTTCCTGTCCCTCTGCCTCATCGCCTGCGGTCTCGCGTCGGCTCCAGACTCTCGCGCGCCCCTCCTCTCGGCGGCTGACGAGCCTCTTCCTCCTTCGCTCCCAGCG